TTGTGTACCATGATCAAGTGAAGTTCATTCCGGGATGCAAGTTTGTTTCAACATACAGAAATCAATAAATGTAATTCATCGCATCAACAGACTTACAGATAATAATAAATAATTATATCAATTTATACAGAGAAAGTATTTGACCAAATACAGCACCTTTCATGTTCAAAACACTACAAAAACTAGGGATAATAGGAACATACCTAAACATTGTAAAAGTTATCTATTCTAAACCCAAGGCCAACTTCATTTTTTTTTTAAAGAGAGAGAGAGAAATTAAATTATGTTGAGATTTCTTCTGACTCCAATCAGAATGGTAATTATCAAGAATACAAGTAACAATAAATGTTGGTGAGGATGTGGGGAAAAAGGTACACTCATACATCACTGGTGGGATTGCAAATTGGTGCAATCACTCTGAAAAGCAGTATGGAGATTCCTCAGAAAATTTGGAATGGAATCACCATTTGACACAGCTATCCCACTCCTTAGTTTATACTCACAGGACTTAAAATCAGCATATTACAGTGACACAGCCACATCATTGTTTATAGCAGCTCAGTTAACAATAGTCAAACTATGGAACCAAACTAAATGCCCTTCAACAGATGAATAGATAAAGAAAATGTAGTACATTTACACAATAGACTACTACTCAGTCATAAAGAATGAAATTATGGCATTTGCCTGTACATGGATGCACCTGGAGACTATTATGCTAAGTGAAATAAGCCAAAACTCCCAAACCCCCCAAAGTTAAAAGTTCTCTCTAATGTGTGGATGCTAACCCACAATAAAGGGAGGGGAGAGGGGAAGAATAAAAGTTCAGTGGATTAGACAAGGGGAATGAAGGGAAGGGAATACAGGAAAATAAAAGAGGAATGAATCAGACATAGATTTCTTACGTACATATATGAATACACCTCAGTGAATCTCACCATTGTGTACATCCACAAGAAATTAATTAAAAAATAAAAATAACTATGGATAAATGGTAGAAAGATCAATAGAGGGAAGGAGGCAGTGGCTGGAGGAAGGGAAGAGAAAGGACAGGTACTGGAGTCCTAATAAGAATAAGATATATTCCATGCTTGTACAATTATATCAAAATGCATTCCACTTTCATGAATAACTAAAAAGAACCAATTAAAACAAACAAACAAACAAACAAACCTTGAAGGAGTTGGCAACTAGAGGTCATTTGCTGATATTTTGAGCAACTGGGGAAGCAGTGTGTCCTTTGAAAGAGGGGTCTGGCCATCATATCTCTGTCCACGGCATGTCAATCTGGGTCTCAGGGCATGCAGTAAGTGTCCCACGCTTTCTCTACAAAGATGTATAAACTTGAACAATGATGACCTAGTAATTCATTTGGAAGGTAGGTTTAGGCAGGAGGTGGCAGCTGTTCTGTGCACTATAGAACATTTTAGAAGAATTTCTGGCTTTTTTCAAAATTTAAATCAATGGATATCATTTAGCAGAATGTCTTTTGATATTTTACAGCATCATTTGCAATTACAGTACGGTGCCAGAAGAATGATTGCTAAAGGAGTTAGGGCAAAAGACTCCGGGGATAGAGCTGGAGGGTATTAAACTTTAAATAACTTCGCATGTGAATAGTGTGTTCCATATTTTTCCCCCATGTGTTTCATAAGTTTGCTAGTCTTCTTTTTCTTCTCTTTCTCTCTCTCTCTTTTGCTTATGGATGTGATGTTGCAGATTGTGTATTTTCCTCTGATTCTCTGCCTTGGCTTTGGCGTATCATGGGGACTAAGAAAGTAATATTTGAGAGGAGGTAATTTCTGACTAATTTAGTAACTAAAGTAAAAATATGCGCCCCCCCCCCCAAAAAAAAAGAAAAAAGACCTCAAGAAGTTGAAATTGCATACTTTTATTTCTTGCTTTTCTTGTCTCCAGATATGAATGACTTCGACTTAGGTCTAGGCATGATTTTAGCAATTGATCTAACACATGATGTTGATATCTCACACGCTTTTCTAAGATTGCCCTGGGAGAGTAGTTGATGTTTTTCTTCTTGTCAGGCATAGAATGAAGTATGAGAAAATAGAAACGTAGGTATCTAAACATCGAACACTAAGTTTCCACAGATGTTTTCTTCATGATTGCTAAGGAACTGATGATAACAACACAGAACACGTGAGGCACATTTCAAATAATGGCATGAACTAGAAGCCTAGATATTCCCTCAAAGGGGAAGGACCAGTATTTTCTCTGAATGAAAAATTCATATTTGAGATGTCTGCATGAAATATAAAAGTTACAATATTTCCATCTTGGAGCAGATTAAGGAAAGGAAAAATGAGTTAAATAATATAAAAATATTTTTATTTGGTAGAAAATAGCAGATCTTACTTTTATAAAATGCATGAACTAAATAATGGTGAATTTTGAAAAAAAATATAAATAAAATACTTAAAATTATCATTCAATATTTGTACCTTTACAGTTGTTGGTAGGTACTTCTATACTCTGTTAAATTGTGATTCTTTGTGAGTGAGATGGGCAAAGCCAAAAAAACCCTGTTTTAGTCAGCTTTCTGACTGCTGCAACTAAAAGACCCAACCAGAACAATCGATGTAGAGGAGGAAGAGTTGATTTGAGGGCTCATGATTTCAGAGGTCTCCACTCCTCAAGGCTTGAGGTGAGGAGGACATCATGGTGGAAGACTGTGGCAAAGGGAAGCCCCTCATATGATGATCAGAAAGCAAAGAGAGACTCCGCTAGTCAGATACAAAATATATACCCCAAAGACAAGCCTCCAATGACCCACCTCCTCCAGCCACAACCTATCCACATTTAGTTACCACCCAGTTAATCATATTAGGGAATTAATTCACTGATTGGCTTAAGACTCTCATAACCCAATCATTTCTCCTTTGAACTTTCTTTCATTGTCTCACACATGAGTTTTTGGGGGACACCTCACATCCAAACCATAATAACATCCCAGTCTTTATACCTTTTCTTAGGCTAAGTCCTGGAAACAGATTTCTCATTTCATGTTGCCAATTTCCTCTTGAGACCTCTGAATGGTTCTTATGGTGGCACAAATGGCAAAGTCAACATGTATTACAAAAATTGACATCATAATTTTTGATGTTGTATGCCATGGGCATAAGACTAATACAAACCTCTAGCTCACGGTAAATGTTCTGCTAAATAAAAACCCCCAGTTACTGTCATGCAATAGTTAGACCGACCTTCGTCTTTAGATTAGATACGGTCCTTCTTGAAAAAAAAAAAAGTTGAAACTCCACAGAGACTTATACAGAATTAAAGCATTATTAATTTAGACCTATAAACTTAATTTCTTTACCTCTCTGTGGATGACTTGCTGAGTTTGAGACACTGTGCAGGAGAATAACCCAAACAACTAGAGGCCTCCAACTTTGGTGTCTGGATTTGATAATGCTTGCTCTCTTCTCAAACCCTGTGCTAGAGGTGGTTTCTAACTCTTTCTACAGACACTTTGTAGAAACCAAAAACTGACAGCTCACTTGGGGCCGATGAACACCTCTTAAAAAATGCTTTCTAGAATGAATGGACTGAATTAAATTATTTTCAAAGCATTTGTTTTGATAGTACTGTCAAATGGTATCCTACTTTTTTTTAAAAGATATCCACATAATGTTGACTATGTTTTGCCTTATTTTGAAACTTTTCAAATCTCTTTATGCCCTTGCTAAGGCCATTATATCTCAGCATTTTATTGAAGTAGTATAGATAACTAAAGTGTGCGTGATTGTAAGCGCCTAGGGAGTTTTCACAAACAAAACATCCCCATGGAACCCACAGTGGATGAAGAAACCAAAAATCACTAACACTCCATTCGCCAAGCTCCCTTCCAATCACCACCAATCAGCCACTAACAGGTGAATGTTGGTCTGATTCTGACACATGGTTTTGTTGAGGCCAGGATAATGTGATTAATTGGAAATTCGTTTCTAGACAGTAATGTTGATTTCAGCTTTGCTCCGGTCCCATTCTGCCTGTAGGGAGGACACTGCTTGAGGAAGCTCTCAAACTGAATTGTTCCAACTGTGTGAATGTGCTCTGGGCCCCCAAGAGGCAGGTAAAAGGGTGAAGTTCGAGAGGACTTGGGAGTCATGGGAGAGGGCTGAGGAAGGACCCAGGAAAAGCAAGATGGGCAAAGCCCAAAGAAAAACATCCCAGTCTCCACACCTCTGCTCAGGAAAAGCCCAGGGAACCGAGCTGTCATTTCTTTTTGCAACTTTCCTCTTGAGACCTCTGTGTGGTTCTTATTGTTGACTTTGCCTTTGTGCCTGCTGTGGAAGATCAAATGTTGCTTTTAGCACAAGGTATCTTGGTAAGTATTAAAGACATAAATACTGAGATGTGTAAGAACATTGTGCACACATGAGTATTTTATTTTAGAGCATTTCCAGAGAATGTCTTTTGCAGGGTAAGACAGGGCTCATATTTTCAAACCACCAGCAGGACATTAGTCACTCACAAAAAGTACAAAGATCAGTCAAAGCAGAGGACTGCATCCTTAATGAGAGAGTAGAAGCTGAGTAGAAACTATTGACTCTAGGTGTGAATTCCTGTTGACCTCTAAGAAATGCTGAAAACAAAAAAACCTACTAAATTTCAGGAACATCCATCAGCTTTGACTCGATAAGGGCTGAATTAATTCTGTATTTTTTTTCTCTTTCTTTAAGGAATATTAGTCTAGAACATCCCTTACTAAAGCTTAGGAGTAGTCATGAATTGTGATTTATTTAATTGAAGCAGAGGTTGAGGGCAGCACAGTCTTTCTTATTCCTGTTTTATACAAGAACCTCACTTAAACAAAGTCAGTAGTCCTGATATTCTCTTTCTCTGTTAATGGGCTGGCCCCCCCATTAAAATGTAATCAGGTTCCCATGCTCATTGTAAATTGTTAAGGCAACTTAAGTGAGTTATTGTCTCATCTGTCTGTTGTACATTTACATGGCCTCTTGTTCTTCCCAGCAGACCTTGGGCTTGGATTCAGCTCCACATCACACAGAGAAAACCAAACATTCAAAATGGCAGAAGGATTGAATGGGATGGTGAGTGATGGGAAGCTGAAGACTCACTGCTTATTCCTCCACACAGGGAAGAAAATGCCCATATCACCAACCAGCAGAAAGTGAGTTTCCATACCCTGTGACATTTGGTAGACCCTAGGTTGGGAATAAAAGATCTCCAAGGGAATGACTTAGACTTGGAAATTTCCTTTTAGGTCCATTCTGAGTTTTGGGGATCACAGTGGAACCACATGAAAGGAACACTCTGAAGTAAATCCATATTGACAGTTTGCTTTATACACCACAATTTCTTTTCTCGAGACTCAGTTCTCTTTGCTTTTTCAATTTTGATTTCTTTATATTTTTTCTCTGTTTGTTTTTTCCCTATCCAAATTCTTCTAACCTGTGCCCAATAAATTTCTTTTCACTTCTAATCTGACTCTGCTCGTCTGATATTCCACTTAACTCCCACTTTGTGAAGTTGGGTCTATGAAATACACTCTGTTTCTATGCCCTCGTAATTCCCAAGAGGAATAGGTAGCTCAAGCTGTGGTAAAGAACTTGGTTCTTGATCTTCTTCTCCTATCTCTCCTTGGGCCTTTTCCCCTCCATCTGTGTCAATTTATTAATCTATATTTAGAAATATAAATATTGACTTTGCTACATACTTATTTTACTAGATTGGTTAAATTCTTTCCCTTGTAGGTAAAGAAAAATTTGTTTAGCAAATGTGAAATTAGATATAGGACAGTCAATTGTTATTGACTGTCTGATGATGACAGGAGACTATGGCAAATAAGCCTGCGTCTCTGAAAGAGGACAGCGCTTTTCACCTGGATCATGTGCTTGTGTTTGGATATCCTTCTGCCATCTTGGATGGGACTGGTATTATCCGTGTTCAGTGGATCTTGGAGATACTCCATTACCAGGCAGGCAGTTTTATGGCTAAAAATTGGCTTCAAAAAAAATTCTTCCAACTTTCCTAAGTATCCTTGTTGTTCTTTCTTTTTCTGTTGCTTTGGTGATGCATTTCTGCATTCATCTCCTCTTTCTGAGCTCTTACTTTTACCCTGAAACTCTCTCTTGCTACATTTTGTTTGTTTTATGCTCCTGGCACTGCATCTCCAACTCTGTCCTCCTGTCCTCTACTTCTGTTTTCCTGTGGTGAGGATATCATTGGTTAGCCATAGGAAACCAGGTCATCACTGATGAATAAAGACATATCCTTCAGAATCTTTTTAAAATAGCATTTCCTGGATATAGGAAAGTGCTATCTCCATTACTTCTTAATAATCTTTGCCTCAGCAATATGCAGGGACCAAGTGACATCAACATTAAGAACTTCTGGATAACTTCAGCTAATGCTATCCTTGGTAGTGACCCATAAAAATACCACTTTATAGCTTTTAATGCATTATTATTTATGGTGAATATTATGATAATGTTTACCTTACAAAACCTTATATGTTCATTTTACCAGAGATAAGGTGAGTTGAGGGACATTTTATAATTTGTTCTGAATTAGTCTCCTTAAGACTTAAGGCTCTCAGCAGCATTTCCACTTTCTGAATAAGTGACTGAGTAAAAGAGGAGATCTCAAACCTGTTGGGAAAGTGAATCCCAGAAGAATTAATCAAATATGGATAACGACATCATTCTCCTGCTTTCAGTCATCTATATCTTACATGTTCATTAACTAAAATGAAGGTGATATGACTGAATGAACCTAGAATGAAAAATTGGCAAGGTAGACTATTTCTAAAGAGAAATCTTTTTTTTCCCCTATTTTAACCATGTGAATTAGGTCCAATTAGCTGTTTACAACATGTTGCCAAGTGGAACTCCTATCACAACATAGAGTCCTTTTTAAGTAGACATCTCCCCTACCCCTTGCCAAGGATATTGGGAAAGTATGTTTTGGTTGGTTTATCTTTCCTCTTGTGATATAGCTTATGCTGATTTATTCATATTCTTGTTAGTCAAAGTATGTTTGTGGACCAGTGGCATAAGTATCACCTGGGACCTGGGTAGATATGTGGGATCTTGGGGCCCATCATAGTGCCATGAAACCAGAATCCATATTTTAGCAGGATGCCCAGATGAGCCCTATGTACAGCAAGTCTGAGAAACATCACTGTAGAAGATTTCTCAATTCAGATTCCACAAAGGTGAACTTTGGTTTGTGCTTCATAAGTGTCCCTCAGATTTTGAATTGGTGAAGTCAAAAAGAATCAGCTTTTGTTAAAATTCATTTTAACTGTGTATTTCATTATTTGAGTTTTTCTTAAAGTTTTATGATATAATGTCACTTGTAAAGGTCTGAGTTACCTATTTTAGAGGTAAACATCTATTAAAAGTTGAAGTCGTACCCAAATCCTCTTTTCATGTGTTTATCAAGGCTGGGTTTGATCCACAGGATTCCTTAGGAGGCAGGTTTTCACATCATGGCATTTCCCTTACTCTGAAGTTTTGTATTACTTTTACCTAATTAATTGTTGGATGATTCCTATAACCCTTAGTAGAAATCTATGCATCATGCTTTTATTGCTTGAATTAAGAACCCCCAACAGACTTGAAGAAATATTTTGATATGTTCAATATTTTAATATTTGGAATCTCCTTGAAGGGTGGAAATTCCTTACATATTGCAAAAGATATTAAAAAATAATTTCAGCTTTTGTTTCCAACAGGTGTGGATTTATACTGCAGTAGGAAGAACAAACACTACTTTTTATGGTATATACTTTACATTTTTGGTATCTATTTGAGTCTTTTCTCTTTGTCTTCCAAGCAACAGCTTTAAGTAGTTCAAATGTGTAAGTCAACAACCATAATGCTAAATGAAAGTACTATAAGTCACATTTGTGTGATATCCCTTTAAGAGGATAATTTATTGGTAAATCTATTAATTTACATTTTGTTATTAAAGTTACAAAATATTGTAGTTATCTGTATTGCATACTTAATCCTATTTATTTATAAATACTCAAGATTGTCACTTTATAAAAAGAAACATTTTGATATTAATTTATTTGCAGTCAAATCTCCAACTACTGTAAAACTAGAATGTGAGTTCTTTGAAGGAAGATGTTTCTGTCTTGTTCAATGCTCTCTCCGCCAGCACCTGGGACAGTGCCGCACATGCAGTATATGGTAAATATCTGTTGCCTGAATGAATAAATGAATGAGCCTAAAAATGTAAAGTCTCTTCAAAATTAAACAGTTGCAATTCATTCCCTTTTGGTTAGCCCTTTGCTAAAAGTGTCTCTGAGAGAAACGATTCTCCCTGGAAACAGGATCTATTTAAAATCTTACCTAAACAATGAAATAATAGGAGCCGAGGATAACTGGGATTCTTGAAAGCACCGGGTAGGAGCAGCCCCAATAGTACATTGACCTATGGTTTATTTGTTGATGGCTTTTACTTTCCATGGAATTACTGCCAAGGTGCTTTTTTTCCCCCTTAAAATGTCCTTTTTCTCATTCCTTGATTTGGATCCATCCTATTGACTTCTGGTAACAAAGCTGTCACTCAGAGAGATTTCCTTTCTACCTCCCATCTGTCACCTCCCAGGCTCTTGGAAGGAGAGCCCATTTTCCCTCTTAACCCTGACTCTGAGGACCCTTCTCTCTACCTTGTTTGTTGCTGGGACGGCTGTTTGCTCAATTTGCCTGGGAGGATCGTGACTCCCAACCTGGCTCCCTTTTTCCTGTGGGATAACGTGCTCTGTGTGTAGACAAGCAGACAGAAAATGAGGGAGTGTATTTTCCCATTAGGGGAAACTTTGAGATCAAGGTAACTTCTGTTCTCTATGTCCTTTCTATATCTTAAAAAAGACCCCTTCCAAAAATAAAACAAACAAAACCCCAAAATAATAACAACAAACCTGGGCATCCCACACTCTCCTTGAGTTCAATAGTTTAAAAAGATACTGAATGTTTTACAAATTTATATTATAATATTAAAAGGAAGTTGAGCTTGGTGGCATATGCCTGTAAACTCTGGAGGCTGAGGCAGGAGGATCGGAAGATCAAAGCCAGCCTTGGAAGCTTAGGAAGGCCCTGAGCAACTTACAGAGACCCTGTTTTCAATTAAAAAGTAAAAAGTGCTAGGGCTTAACTTTACCACTAACTTACAGTTTTCTGGGTATATGATAAACAACCCCCAAATTTTTGTGGACTGGTCTAGAATCCTCACCAACATGTCCAACTTAATTCCTAAAGGGAAATATATGCGGAAAACATGATTTGCTAATGAACTTTTGTAACTTCAAAAATTCCAATTTAATTGCAATAGGTAGAATTTTAAAATTATGTTTAAAATTGTGTTACTTTGAAAAAATTAGGGCAAAAGATAATAATTTATTAAGTTATTATAAGATCAACCAATTATTCATCCAACTGTTGGTAAAAAGACATTGTATGGAGGTTTAAGATAAGAGGCACATTCACAGCCAAGTGTAGATGTGCAACCAACACAGTCAATTGGCAAACAGATGTGGCCTTTGTAGGCAGAATCCTGATTCTAACAATTCCAACTTGTATGAGATTAACAGATTACTTCCTGGTTCTCTCAGTTTTTTCATTTGCCACGAAAGACACAGCAATGTACCTGTTTTACAGCATTATTATTTTTTTTTTACAAATAAGTATAAAAATTTAATGAAAAGAATGACATATGTATATTTTAAATTGACACATACACATTTAAAAATCTAGTACCCAGATGAAATGCAATTTTATTAGAAAAATTTAAATACTAAAGTTGACTTAAGTAGAGTCCATTATCTTTTTAAAATCTTATTTTTTTTAGTTATACATGACAGTAGAATACATTTTGACATATCATACATAGTTTATCATTCTTATGGTTGTATATGTTGTAGAATCACACTGGTTGTGTAATCATATATGTACATAAGGTAATAATGTCCCATTCATTCTACTATCCTTCCATATCCCCTCCATTTCATTCCCTTCTGCCTAATCCAAAGTAATTGTATTCTTTCCTAGCCACCCCCATCACTTATTGAGAATTAGCATCTGCAAATCAGAGGAAACATTTGGCTTTTGGTTTTGGGGGATTAATTTATTTCACTTAACATGATATTCTCCAGCTCCATCCATTTACCTGCAAATGCCATATTTCATTCTTCTTTAAGGCTGAGTAATATTCCATTGTGTATATGTACCACATTTTCTTTATCCATTCATCTGTTCAAGGGCACCTAGTTTGGCTATTTGTTCCATAGTTTGGCTATTTGTGAACTGAGCTGCTATAAACATTGATGTAGCTGCATCAGTGTAATATGCTGATTTTAATTCCTGTGGGTATAAACAAAGGAGTGGGATAGCTGAGTCAAATGGTGGATCATTTCCAAGTTTTCTGAGGAATCTTCATACTGCTTTCCATAATGGTTACATTTCCACCAGCAATGTATGAGTGTACCTTTTCCCCTACATCCTTGCCAACATTTATTGTTGCTTGTATTCTTGATAATTGTCATTCTGACTGGAGTTAGATGAAATTTTAGACTAAAAATGCCACCAACAACTAGAGTCCAAATCAAATAGTTTTGATTTGCATTTCTCTAATTGCTAGAGATGTTGAACATTTTTTTTCATATATTTGTTGATCAATTGTATTTCTTCTTCCACGAAGTGTCTGTTCAGTTCCTTAGCCCATTTATTGATTGGGTTATTTGATTTTTTTGGCGTTAAGTTTTTGAGTTCTTTATGTATTCTGGAGATTAATGCTCTAAGATGCATGTGGGTTACAAAGATTTTTTTCCATCCTGTAGGCTCTCTCTTCACATTATTGATTGTTTCCTTTGCTTAGAAGAAGTTTTTTAGTTTGAATCCATCCTATTTATTGATTCTTGATTTTAATTCTTGTGTTTTAGGTGTTTTGTTAAGGAAGTCATTTCCTAAGCTGACATGGTGAAGATTTGGGCCTCCTTTTGCTTCTATTAAGCACAGGTTCTCTGTTCTAGTCTTTGATCCACTTTGAGTTTTATGCAAGGTGAGATATAGGAGTTTAATTTCATTTCGTTACAAATGAATTTCCAGTTTTCTCTGAATCATTTTTAAATAAGCTATCTTTTCTGCAATGAATTGCAAATGACACAAAATGTAAAAGAATAAAAAGTAAGTGGTTAATACTAGGATGGACTAGTTAAAACAGGTAATTTTCATAGCATGGTTTCACAGGTGTCTTCTATTCTGTACCATCGGTCTACATGTCTGTTTTGGTGCCAATACCATGCTGTTTTTGTTACTATGGCTCTATTTTACAGAATTATTAATTGAAATAATGCACATGTGCAATTGATAGTTATGGAAAGGAAATCAGGTGTTTGTGTGGGTGATAGGCTTGGTAAATCCAAAATGTTGTGCTCACATCTTATAAGCACTAATGATCTCCTGGTTATATTTATTACTCTTAAATGAATAGACTGCTAACATCATCCTTATTTTTCAAATAATAAAATTCAAGTTAAATAATACATAGCCTGTGGCTATACAATATCAGTGGTGTATTAAATATTACAGCTCAGACATTTCCTGTTGTGGTTGCAGGGACTGCTTCCAGTGAGGACCGTGAAGAGTTCCAAGGGTCAGAGTAGATGCAACATAATTCAGTTAAACATTGCTGTGAGGGTGAGGCCTAGAATATCAGGGTAACATGGAAAGGAGGAATAACATCAGTTGTTTTAACGGTGAGAATTTAATGTGAAGATTTATTAAATTATTAAGTCAAGAGTTGACAAGACAAAAAAGAGAAAACACAGGTGTCTTCAAGCGAATGACTATTGGAAGTGGTTATCCCCACCCCCAGGGCTGGGAGAGCTGAGGAAAAGTTGGAGTTATTAGAACTTCAATGGTCGCAGGAGGGACCAACAGGACTGAGCCTCAGATCTGTGAGACCTAGTGGGGTTGGCTGGTGATGGTCTTCATTTATTAGAGGAGGGGACCTGTGGGCCTGTGATCCAGATTTACAAGACTTTGGTTTCTGGTGGTATTTCTCAAACAGAATGATGAATCAGAAAAAAAAAATTACGCTGAACGGTGGGATTAACCGGCATGACCAGAGTGAAGAAGCAGCGGGTGATACTATCAGGAGTGGAAAGCCCACAGGAAGGAGCAGGCTTTCTTTGTCTCCAGCTGTGCACTCCTGTCTTGCTCTTTTATTAAACGTATCTAACAGAACCAGCCAGAAGAACCAAAATGTTGTCTCCAGAGTCCTGATCTTAACATTGCCAAGCAGAGGATAGAAGGATGAGGTTGATGTTGATAGACCACAGACGGGGCTCCTATGGCAGTGGACGGGGTGGAGGAATGGGGCAGAATCAGGGCTTTGTGAGATTAGTCTAACTTTCCTAGGCCAATGAGGCACTGCCAGCTAGAATAGCAGGATCACTATATTCCCATGCAGGCAGGAGCTGTGAGCAGTGCTGGAATTCAGATCAGCCTTGGGCTCATGTGAATACCCAGCCTACTTAATGTTGGGCTGAAGCTGTTGCGATTTTTGTTGACCTTGTCAAAATTACCCCAGGGACTAGAGATGTGGCTCAGTGGTAGAGCTCTTGCCTACCACATGTAAGACACTGGGTTCAATCCTCAGCACCACATGAAAATTAAAAAATAAATAGAATAAAGGTATTATGTTATAACAATAACAACAAAAAGAGTGTATTTTTTTTTAATTACCCCAAAGCTGAAGAGGGACTGAGTCGTAAGGGAGGCTTATCTGTCACTGGTATGGCAGCAGAGGGGTCAAGATGCAGAAAGGGAAGCCATGTTGGTGCTTGTGATGTTCCACTGAGACCAAAGCCAGTTCCACATGAGGCAGATAGGGGAGACCTGCTTTAGTTTGAAGCAGCTGAGACTTCTAAAGAGTAAATAGTCCTTAGGTTACTCTATCATTTCATTATGGAAAATTTCCACTCATTAAAAGTATTCCAAGGCCTTTGGTCAACTGGAGAATCCATGGTAAGGAATGTGGCCCCAGATCAAGTTAGTGCCTTAACTGCCTGGGTCTGACATTCAAGCTCTAAAGTTCGACCCTTATTTATTCCTCCAGTGCTGCCCACTCATCACCCAAGGAACTTTGTAGACAATGCTGGTGCTGGACTGCCTCTGGAACAATTAAATGAGGCAGGGTTATTCATATTGTTTAAAAATTCCCCATAATATTTTGATGTCAGCCATGGTTATGAACCATGTGCTATGAAAATTTTATACCTTAATTGATCTGTTTTATTTTGCAATTCAAATCAATTTAAAAAATCTAGGCACTTACTGGATCCCTGACATTAGGTTGGTTGTTGGAAATCAACAAAATCAGTATCTCTTGATTCAATAGGAGAGGCCAAGGCATGCACATATATGATCCAATCTGGTTTTATATTCTGGATGATTAGGTACTGAGAAGGAGGGATGATAAATTCCACCTGGGTTTCCGGGGAGAAGGGATGGATGACCTTCATGGAGTGAATGGGAATATGCAGGTAGAGCGTAGATTAGTCTAAATGGAGTTGACTCTGAAAGGATGAATCAAATTCAACAAAGGGGACAAAGCATGAAGGAGCATGATGTGTCCCGTCATGATGAATAATTTGAATAAGCAAAAAATGGGTTGAATTGAGTGAAAGGCTATGGATGAGACAGAAAAGGAAAGTGAGAGCCACATTATAAAGGATTTAAGTTCAATATTAATTGAATATCCACAAGAATCCAAGCACAGGGTTACATTCTGAAGGTACAAAAATGAGTAAAAGTGACCCACCTATTTTCAAGTTGCTCCTGTGGATGAGTCAGCTGCAAGGTAGTGTAGAGATGCATTTCAGGCAGAGAAAACCAAACCAAAAAAACAACACCAAACCAAAAAACCCCATAGCAGATGCCTCATTATTTTAAGAACAACCATAACACAGAACTATTGGGCGTGATAGGAATGGACAGAGATTAAATCTTAAAAGACAGGCAGATTAGATTAGAAGAGCATTACATAGCTTATTTAGAACTTTGGATTTTATACCACAATTAACAAATACTATAAGGACTTAAGTGAGGATTAATGTGGTTCATATCTGGTGGTATTACATGATTGTGATTTGGCAGAAAGGTGGGAAGAGAGATCAGAGACCAGTAGACTGTTAAAATGGTCCAGATAATAGGTTACTGATCTAAGGAAGTTAAGTTTTGTCATTAGTGAGTGTTGTATTTTATGGGGCTTGTGTTTTGGTGAAAGGAAGGAAGCCACCTTGAGTTTGGGTTATATGAGTTATCCAGGTGGATGGATAGCCAAGTTGACAGTTGAAAATATACATCTAACACATAAAAGATTAGTCTAGATTGAAATGCTTATCTGATATCAGGAGCTTGTAGGTGATAGACAAAGTCGTCCAAATGGCCAGATATGAATTGACTCTTGTAGGAAAATCAAGATTTGAAGATGAGGAAAAGACAGTAGCAAAAGGAAACTGAGGAATCCAGGTGGTATCAATATTTCAGGGGTCCAGATTCTCTTTATTCTCTTGAGACAAGTTAATTTTGAAAGGAATGGATGGGTCATCAGTGTTAAATACTGCAAGGGAGTCAAAGAAGATTTAAAAACTAAAAAAGACTTCCAGACTTAGTTCCTGAGGGAAGGGACCATGTAATTGTTTGGTCCATATTAGAAACTCCATGACTGCAGAATAAATGGATGGGTTTCCAGTCTACCCTTTCCTCTTGCTTGCATCTAAGTTTATTTATTATTCAAAGTGTAACCCATATTAGATATGGCAATTTCTCTGGTTTTCAAAGAACAGAAACAAGATTAATCTAGAAGGAACATGTTTGCATTTTTCCAATTAAAAATGAGCATTTTTTTTCTGTATGAAAAGGTTTCTTTTCTGTCATCATTTTCAAATAAATGATATATTATGCATTAAACAATGCAAGATGAAATAGCACATACTTAATTTCCTATGTCATCAGAAGTATGTTTCTTTTGACCTTTACAAGTTAAATTCAAAAGTTAATTCAATTTTCCCTGTAAAAGCTATTAAAGCTCTGAGGCAAAGATTTAGGCTGGATTCAGAAAAACTTTGGTGAATTGGAAGTGGGTCAAAAACCATTTACTACTCATTTAAAAAAATGCTCTTGATATATTATGAATTTCTCTCTAATGTTTTCATAGCATGTCCTCTCTCAAAATTAAATCCCATTAGCTGAACAACTGCTATGTTAATTTGAAAGTAGACAAATCTCTTTCAAGGGGCGAAAAGAAATAATTTATGGATCATTTAAAAAAAATGTCACTTGAAAGGAATTTGAATTTTTTTCTTTAAAGAATCTCCAAAACTTCTATAAAACTAAATATGGTATTTAAATCTCCACTAATTTTATCATCTAATTTTCTATTTGATATTCACTTATAATGATGGTTGGTTTTATATTCTCTTTGAAGCAGAGGTAATTAATAAGAGGAAGGTACTTAGTGCACTGTGCAGAATTATAGTTGGTTAATATAAGCTAATTCAGAGAAAATTCTGTTTTTGAACAGTACATATATTCATATACTAATAATTATGGATTAATAGGCAATACAAATTGCCTTGTTTTATTAGTGGTTTTGAGTGCGTTTTCTTAGGTTCATTTTCCCAGGCTGAGGGGAGCATTTCTGAAGTGATTTATTAAGAAACTATTTTCAGAAGAGGGCAAGGGATTTGGGGGAGCAGGGCAGGGAAGGGGGCAGCCAGAGCAAAGGTGGGATTTCAGGTAATCTTTCAGGGTCTGGAGTATTAGTCACATCTGTAGGTCTTGATCTAGATACCTGGCTGTAATAGCCCAGCATTGAGTAGGCATCTGCTAAGAACTGTGTTGAGTTAAGGGGAGGGGGGCAGGCTGGGGACTGTCTTCTCAGGAACTTCTTCTGTGCTTTCTGTAGCCTGCGGCCAGGTCCCTGTGGACAGCCTGAGGTCATTGGAAGCAAAATGGGTAGGATGATGGATGTCAAAGGGATCCAAAATGATAA